GAGCCCGTGCTCATGCTGCTGGGGAGCGCCGCCGCGTCCGGACCGGGGAATTCTGGCCCTCCAGAAGGCGGCTGCCTAGGCCTAGCTATTACTGGCGTGCTGCTGCTGGTGGGCCCCGCTACGACCGCGGCGAGGCTGCGGGAGGTCTGCAGCTGCGATAGCAGGGACGCCACCGAGTGGGCGTTGGGGGGTCCGCTCGATTGGGCCCCGGTGGGTGGTGCTTCGGGTTCAACGAGGCCGCGGGGGCCGGTGGGCACTGGTGCCTGTGAGGTCGTGCTAGCCGCATTACTAGCTGTTACAGGGTGCGTTTCTTGGGCCGCGGATGCAGTATTCGCAGCTGGAGGCTGGGAAGCTTGAGAGGCCGCCGTCGCCGCGTTGACCGTGTTCTGCCATGCTTCCGACGACCTCAGCTGGTCCAGCAACGCCTGAATCGCAGCGGGGTCCTATTTTACACGTTATCACAGTGTACCTTCTGTCGTGAATAGCTTCGCGCACTTACAGAACTCGGAGCTCATCGCCGTCGCGTCGGATGAGGCTCTGCCTCGGCGTCCCTCGTGTGCGACACTAGCCGGGCCACGCGACAGTGAAGACGGCCGGGGAAAGATTCACGGACTCTGTCAGGGGAGTGGTGTCCTATAGGAGAGTGGGCGACACAAGGAGAGCGGCGGGAGAGCGTGCAGGGGCAGGCGGACGCGCCGGGAGCAGGAGCACTTGGGCAGAACAGCAGCCACTAGACAGGCGTCCGCGTCGAGCTCGTAAAGGGACAGAGACATGCGCAAGACGGTCGAATACGCTATGTACAAAGTACTACCAGAGGACGAAGCAGGCAGAACGAAAGGACGCCGCGTCCGCTCGAATTCCCTTTCGCCACAATAGGCGCCCGCGCGCTTCCATCTCTCGGCTCTCCTTCGCACCGCCACTCTCTCGCAAACTCCACCACCATCGTGTCTCGCCCGCTGCTCCTCTCTGCTCTCGTTTATGGACGTCTGGGTTTCTGACAGAGTCGCGCCGAATGGTGGACTTACGACTTTGCGCTCAGAGGTCAAAAATGGCTCACCTGGCAACTAACTCGCACCCCGCGGCGCACACGCGTCTCCTTCTTGCCGGACGGGCCTTCCCGCATTGGCGACTCGTGCGCAGTGTTGCACGCACGCATGCCCCCCGTTCCTGTCGCCACTGGCGTTGTCAGTCTATGACCGTGAACGGAAACTTGCGGGTACTCACCTCACGTCGCACGCCATTTTGTGCTAGTCCGGCCCCCGCAACATCCGCCCGCGTTTTTCGAGGTCAGTAGCAGGTGTGAGCGCGAGCATTGACGTGCTCACAAGTGTTACAGATGCGACAATCTCGCGTGCAGAGCATCCCAGTACTTTTGACCACATCTGCCGGATGTGCTGCTGCTGCTTGTAGCCTCGTATATCTGCCATCGTGAGTTGCAGACTCCAAACGAAGCTGTGTGTGGACACTGACCACGCACAGCTTGCTCGTCCTCACTTGATCGGCCTTACGGCGATGTGTTTTGGCCTCGCGCGCACGCCTGCGACGAATCGCGCCGCTGAACACCGGGCTGTATAATTGGCATGGTGCTACCCGGCCGTGTCGAGTGCGCAACCCCGCCGTCACACTGTATCGCGAAAGGTACGGGAAAGCAAAGAGTCAGAGAAGCTTGACTAGGTCGCGTGTGGCGCACGGGAAGGGACTCTGACTGGATGTCCATGTCAGTGGGACAGTAGTGGTCGACGCTCCACGCGCATGGTGCAGCCGTGCATCTCTCCATCACGCATGCTATGCGTTTCACGCTGGCCGCCGGTGTCGCCGTTCTGTGCATGGGCGCCGCCAGATGCGAGCGCCGCCAAGCACTCTAAGCGCTGCGTGGCTGCACTCTACGCCTGCACTCGTCCCCTGTCCCGTACGCCTCATGATACACTGAGCAGGAGCCTTGAAAAACTCACCTCGATGCCAATCCCATCCCATCGCTGCAGCCACATTTGTTGACTTATCACACCGTCGCTGCGACCGGTATTTGGAGGAGGGTGCCGAAAGGCCGAGGAGAGATGATGTGCAGGAAGCACAGACAGTGTCGCATGACCAGGAAGAGCTATTGCAGATGCAGCGCGAGGTGTGAGGTGGGAGCATGTGCAGAGGTAATGCGCAGGACGGAAGTGAGATGAGTACAAAGTGGGTGAAAAAGCTCGTGCCTTGCAACAGGGTTGGGCGGGCCAAATACCGCTGGATGGATATGTTTGTCCGTCCCCACACGCGAACATAATGGTTTTGTGAATATATCAGTCTGCGCTTAGCAGGGCCTTGTTTCAGACTCTGATTGTGCTTCACTCGGGCAATTTTAGACTCCAAAATATCATCCGATTTAACCTGTCAAAACGCGCATTTTCTGATCACCTTCTGCAGTCCCAAGCGGCCGCAGTGTTCCGCCCATCCTGTGCAAAATGCAGGCCGATTGTGCGGACTTGGCACATCCGCCAACTCACTCGAACCCTCTCCTGAATGGTGACAGCCCAACTCACCGTTCACCTTGTTCACTGGCACCTGATTGAAATAAAAGGGTATACCAAACTGCTCGCTGGCTGCATTAGATCAAGTTCTTCATTTTGCTGGGCCCTCACACTGGCAGGCTGGGACCGCTGCCGCCTGCTGCACTTGCCGTGCAGTGTCACGGTGATTGTACAGTTACCTGCCGGCACAGCAGCACCTCTGCAAACCTGATCAGTACCTATGCTGTCTTCTCATGCGTGCCCGCCGACCGACTGTACTGAGCCTAGCTTGATATTGTGCCAGTGCTTCCGGACGTGATCCGGCGGTGGCCCCCCTATTTTTGAAGAAGCTGTCAGGGTGTGCTCCGACAGGTATGCAACAAATCACGGCTACCCCAAGGGCAGTTGCATATACTGTAACTTCCCGACCAAAGCGGCGGGTCACAGGTCACAACGACCCCCGCCGCCCCGCATTTGGGGGTCTGTCCCGCGTCACAGCGGCCTCCGCCGCTTTCGCCAGTGGTCCGGCGCCGGTCACGCCCCCAAATGGCGTTTTTGGCGGCCCTGCGGGGCCGCGCGCCGCTTTTCGTACCGGATGGTCACGGTCACCACCGGTCGCACCGCTTTTTGGGCCGCGCCGCTTCGTATCCGGGCGGTCACACCCCAAACCCCCTGCCGGATTGGTCGGGAAGTTACAGTATCCTCAACATGACCCACACCAGGGGACACTGTTTGTGCTCAGACAAGGGCGAGCCACCGTACGGTACTCATGGCAGCAACTATACACTCGACTCTCTGTTAATAAAATGTCAGACCACTGTTTGAATGTCCGCCGTCAAGATGGCCAAGCCAGTGGTGCACTTCCTGCATGGAATTATCAGACCATTTGCTATTCCGTCTATAGGCCATTAAAAATCTACAGATAGCCTTCCACGTCCAGACATGGTGGCGACCCTTCGCAAGCGGCGGGTAGAAGGTAACGAGCACTGCCAAGAGGCACACGGTTTAGGTGTGTCCTCCCCGCATCGCTGCCCAAAACGGCTGCCCGTGATATTTTTTCGATGGGCCTATTGTTCTGATAACGGCTGTCAGTTCAGTCTTCGAGTGCACTCACATTGATGCTATTCAAGAAATGCATGGAGTGATGTCTCGCTTGAACACACAATCATTCCGTAAAACCCGATGATCATGTCCGATGCAACCTCCCAGCCGGAGGCTCAGCGTGCGGGTTGCATAGTGATGCCTACCATTGTTCCGACGCCTCCGTTTCCGACGCCTGAGCAAAGAGCTGACAATCAGCTCACAGACGGGCTCGGTGCATGTAGGACATTCAGAGGATGGTGACTACAGCACAGAAACACACCCAAGCTGTTCTCGCACAAAGACAGTATATCAGACATGTATTATACAAGATCAACACAAGAAACTACCCACAGAGGTTCGAAAAACATGCGTGGTTGCCCAGGAGCGCGGACACCATACCCACCATCATTGTCTTCCAGGTTCCCCGCTCATGCAGAAAATAGATGGCAGCATGTGTACCGAGTCCTGATTCCAGCAGTCGATGGGAAGCTTGAACAACTCGGCCGCAGCCGTATATACAAGGCAGGGGCCTCTTGGCGCATGGAATCGAATAAACTACTCTGACATGTCCAGAACACAGACTCCTTCGTATGCGTACCTTGTTCAGACATCTTGGAAATCGCGTGAGGAGCGGTCAGTCGTGTCCCGGATCCGAGATCGCAAAGCCCGAGGTTGCCATCGGCGGTGCGTAGTACGTATATCGTGTTCGGGGGCCGGTATGCCTGTCTTATAATGTATCTTCCGTCTTCCCGTCGCGTCGCATCCCGTCGCGCCGCATCACGTCGCGCCGCATCACGTCGACCGTGCTATCTGCGTAGTGATTTACCGGCGCGGCGTGTCCCTGCTGGGTGGTACATGCACTAGATGGCGGACGAACGGCGGACATGCACATGAACACGCGCACATACCAGTTGTCTCGCGTGAAGGCGGGCACGGTGGCCTTGTCAGTCGATGAGCGGGACGCAGACAATCACAACAACCTCAACACGTCCCCCGCAATGGCGACGCCATCGCACGATGCCCCACACGACCCTGACTGCAGTACGAAATGAGTGCGATACACCCCGTTTCACGCTTCCGGACGCACTCACGCTGAGCCCGCTGCCCGCCCCGGATCTCCTCCCGCAGGCTGGAGGTCCTCCGGCTAGCTGGACGGACCCCCAATATTCCTGCTCCATCATACGTACTCTCGGGAGGGACGCGACGCCGCAATCTGCTCGGCGCCTGCCGTCTCTCGCGGATGGTGCGGTCGGTTATTTCTGGGGGGCAGACGTCCATACGTGAGGTTGCGGGCGGTAGACGTGCAGGCGAGGAGGCCGTGGACCGGCGTCGAGCGTGCGCGCAGGGAATCTCGAGCGGAGAGATGGGCGAGTGTTGCTGCTGAAGCTGGCTATGGTGGTCGAACCGAAGCGGAGCACCGAAGTCCGGAAAATCGGGAGAAGCGAGGCGAGGGCGCCAGACGCGACGCCAGGGCGGAGTGCGAGACCCGTTCGCGTAGTAGTACCAAATCCGCGTCAGCCGGTCGACGTCTGCGCGGCGCGCGGCTGCTGTGGATGCGTTAATCGTATATGTACCGCGCATGCGCGCGCAGCGGGCGATGTCCCCTGCTCCCTCTCCTTTACGCACCTCCTCAACTCGTACTCGACGCGACGACACCCGCGCACCTGCCGCCGACGCACAACGGCCCTCCGTTCAGACCACACGGTGCATGTGCACTAGCCCGCTTCCCGGAACGCAACGGTGAGCACCCCGATGTCTCCGTACTGCACGCTCGCTCACGGTGACCGTCTCGGCAGGATCTAGCGAGAACGGTGAGCAAGCGGGCTCCCGACAAACGCAACGA